TGCCCGGCGCGCGCAGCCCCAAGCCCTACCCGTCCCCCGCAGGCCATCCCGGGCCACGAGGCGCGGGCCACGCAGGCGCTGAGCTGGGCCGCGGGCGGGCGCCTCTTCGGGGCCGACCTGGCCGGGGACGTGGCCGAGTACGACCTGCAGAAGCTGCGCATCAAGTACACGGTGGACGGCTTCGGCGGCCCCATCTGGAGCCTGGCGGCCGACCCCGGCGGCACCCGGCTGGCGGTGAGTGGGGGCGAGGCCGCCCTGGCAGCCTGTCGGTGGTGGAGCCCACCCCCGGGGACCCTGCACTCCCTCCTGCCTGACCGGGGCTGTCCTTCTCCCCGCCCTGCAGATCGGCTGCGAGGACGGGTCGGTGAAGCTGTTCCAAGTCCTGCCGGACAAAATCCAGTTTGAGAGGAGCCTGGACCGGCAGAAAGGTGATGGCCGCAGCCGGGGGGTGATGCGTGGAGCGGCGGGAAGGGGCACCAGGGACCCCCGCCCTGGCGGGGTCTCTGCATCTGGCTGTGGGGGGCAGGCTGTGGGGCTCGTCTCTGAGACGTTCTTCCGGGCCACGCGTCTCTCCAGGCCGTATCCTGTCCCTCTCGTGGCACGTGTCCGGGACCCGCATCGTGGCGGGCTCCATCAACCACCTCCGAGTGTACGACGTCGACTCAGGTAACTGAACGCCCTTTGCGCCTCTGCTCCCTGCCGTGCCGTGGGGAGCAGGGTGTTTCCCCGTATCGAGCATCTCTGGGGCAGCAGATACTTGATGGGGGAGCTTGGGTCCCTGCGGGGGCTGTCCGCTCCGCTCTACGGTACCCGCACTCTCCCGCTGACCCGGCCATGCGTCCTAGGCCACGTTGTGCAGAGGATCCGGGTGGAGCGGCGCCTGCTGAGCTCCCAGCGGCGGGAGTGCGTGGTGTGGGGTGTGGCGTTCCTGTCGGACGGCACTGTGGTCAGCGCCGACTCGGCAGGCAAGGTGCAGTTCTGGGACGCGGACAAGGGCACCCTCCTGGAGACCCACCCTGTGAGCAGCTCGGCCGTGCTGTCCCTCGCTGTGTCTGAGGTAAGAGATGGGCGTGTGGGGGGGCTTGCAGCAGGTGTGTGAGGGGGCTGACCCCATCACCGCAGCGTCCTCACTGGTCCTGCCTGGCCCCTGGGTGCCCACCCAGGGCCAACTGCCTCCTTGCTGGCGTGCTCCAGGGCTGCAGGCTCACCCAGCGCCCTGGCTCATGGTGACCCTGGCCCCCGCGTGGCCAGCATAGCCTGCCTTGAGCTCCCTGCCTCTCTCCCAGGAGGAGGACAGCCTCGTGGTGGGCACCTCGGAGGGGGCCGTGTACCAGTTCCAGCTGCTGCCAGTGAAGTGGGGGAGCACCGAGAGCCGGTGGGTGCGGACAAAGCCCTTCCAGCACCACACCCACGATGTGCGGGCCGTGGCACACAGTCGCACAGCACTCATCTCCGGAGGTACGGGGCAGTGCCTGGCATGGGGGAGGTGACGGTTGGTCTTGCCGGGGTTGTCCCAGCACGCTGTATCCACACGACATCTCGCTGCGTTCCCCCAGGTCTGGACGCCCAGCTGGTGATCCGCCCGCTCATGGAGAAGATGCACGGACAGGGCTACGAAGCCGTTCTGCGCAAGGTCACCTTCCCCCATGTGAGTGCTGCTCCCCGTCCTGGGCCCTGGGGCTGCTGGTCTGGTTCATGGGGGGTGGTTCCTGCCACGCTGCCAGGGCTCTTGCAGAGCCGTTTGCACGTAACGTCTCGGGGGGACTGGGCTCCAACCTAGGGACCCTGTCCAGCCCTGCATCCCCGTGATACAGCATGTGCCCCCCCCACCACTTTGCCCCTTTCTTTTGCAGCGGCGCCTTGTCTCCTGTGCCAGGAAGGCGCGGCTTCTGCTCTTCCAGTTCCCCCAGCACTTGGAGCTCTGGCGACTGGGAGCCACCAATGCAGCTGGTGAGTGACGCAGCCTGAGGGTTTTGGGAGCACTCCCCTGGCATCGGGTGCCTGGCAGAGAACTGGCCCATCCCCTCTGCTGCCTTGTTCCCTGTGACGCGGCCCCTGTGACAGCCCCAGCACTGGCCGCAGTGGGGGCTGGAGCAGCTGGCTGTGGCCCAACCTGGGGAGGGTGCTTACAGCTAGAAGAGTGTGATGACCTGCGGGGTCAGACGGTTCCTCCTTGCTGGGGACTGGGCTGCAGCCATGTCCTTGGCATCTGTACAGCAGAGACCTTGTCAGCAGCAGGAAGCTTCAGTATCCAGGCTATCTGTCTCGCAGAGCAGCTGGTGCTGCAGCTCCCGTGCATGCCAGGGGCATTGGCATGGTGCTGGGCAGGAGGCAGGGCTCTCTTCCTACTACCCCTTTTTCTTGGGGCTTTGGGCCCTCTGGGTTCTGGGCAGGCATCTCCCCTCCCTGTCTTCAGGCATGCGGTGACAGCACAGAGCCCTGGGTGCTGCTGTGCTTAGCACTGCTGCTTCCTGTCCCAGGGAGGGATGGTGAGGTCCTGCCGGTTTCCCGTGACCCTGAGCACCTGCTGCAGCTCAAGAGCAAGGTGAGGAAGGGGTGGGGGCCAGTCCTGCTGCTCTGGCCATCTCCACGCTGCCCTGAGCCACCGCACTTGCTCCGCCGTCCTGTCTCGACTCCTGCATGGATGTGGAGCGGCATGCATCCGCCTGGCACCTGGGAGGGCTGCGGGGGCTGTGCATGATGTCAGTGGTGGTGAGGATGTGGGCTTCCTGTTGCACCTGCATCTTGGGTGCAGGGGACCAGGCCGGGGCCTCTGCCCTGATGGGGGGGTGGCAGTGGGCAGGTCCCCTGTGCGTGCTGGCAACGTGGCCTGTAGTTGCCCCCTGGATGTGGGGAGGGCAGCTCGGCTCTTTCCCCTGCCGCCAATCCAGGGGGGTTGCAATTGGGGGATGCCTTTGGGGTGGAGGGGGCTGGGATGGCCCTGTCCCATACCTCACCTGCCCCCAGGGCCCTGAGCACATCTGCTGCAGCTGCATCTCGCCCTGTGGCGGCTGGATCGCCTATGCCACGGCCTCCCGGCTTCATCTCCACCGCCTGCAGCTCGAGAACGGCAGTGTCGTCGCCATCCAGAGGGTGAGTGGCGGGGTGGGGGGGCACCTATCCACCGCTGCCTTTGGCGCCGTGGCCTGGGCTCCACAGGGCAACAAAGGCCATTGGGACCTGACTGATGCTGGCTGCTGTCTGCCCTTTGCAGGTGCCCAAGCTGCCCAAGCTGCTGTGCCCGGTCTATCAGCTCCTGTACTCTGCCGACTCCAGCCGCCTCTTCGTGGCATCTGACCAGGGCTCCGTGCATGTTGTCCAGCTGCTGGAGCCGGGGGGCTGCAAGCACCTGCAGCCCCTCCGTTCGCCCTCAGGTACGAGCCCCTACACACATTGGTGGGGGGCCTATCCTGGGCATGCCGTTCCCCTGTCTCCAATTCCTGGGGCAGGAAGCCAGTTTCTTTCTGGACGAGCTGCTGCTGGGGGAGTCACTGTGGAGGGTCCTCAAACCTCACTAGAGGAGCTGCCTAGCCGAACCCTGGGCAGCTGATCCCTCTGCCCCTGCCTGCAGGGACCGCGGAGGCCGTGCAGCTGCTGGCTGTGAGTGCGGACGGGGACTGGCTGGCTGCCACCAGCAGCGACTGGGCCATAAACATCTACAGCCTGCAGCAGTTCAAGGTGAGAGGCTGCAGATGGCCTGGGGGGAGAGATCCCTTCCCTGACGCTTGGGATCTGGCCAGTGGTGACCTGCTGGCACCTTCTCTCCCAGGGTGGAGAGAAGGTGCCAGCCTTGCCCCAGGGACTTGGGCGGAGGGAGGGCAGCAGCCTGCGGTCTGTGGGGAGACGCAGCCTGTCCTTCACCCTCCCATCTCTCCGCAGCATCACTGCACAGTGCCCGCATACAACTGCCCTGTGACAGCCATGGGTATCAACCCGGCCACCAACCACCTCGTCATTGCCCACTCGGACCAGCAGGTAGGAGCTCTCCCAGGCATTGGTTGCATTGGGCATGTGGGCCCCGTCCCTGACCCTCCTCAGTCCATCCTGCCTCCCCAGCACTGTAGGTCTGGATCCTGGTGGTGCTTATTA